ACTCTACTTGGCAACTTTGTTAGCTGCACATACAGCTCTCCAGGCATCAGGTGGACATGCCTCCGTCTCTACTAACATCGACGTATCGACTTATGATGTACCTAGCTATAAACTCCGCGCGCTATCCAATACCCCTAAAGATATCCCATTATCGAGAGCATCCCAGACCAACGATGAGGAAGACGAAGACAGAGTGATAAATACTGGAGTTGAAAAACTAGTGGGGTTGATTAGAACTGGAGCATCGAAGATCAGTGAGTACGTGAATCTGGTGCCGTTAGTGGCTAGAGAACAACCTGCAGACGAAATTCTTAAAATGTTCAAGCTTGAGGACGGAATGGATAAGGCTCTGGCCAGCTCTAACTTAAAAGGTTTGGAAGACTATGTGGCAAAATTGAACCCGACGAACCGAAACGATAAAGCCTCGACGATTCGGTTATTTTCAGAGTACTACGGAGACGATGTAGTGGCAAAAACGCTCGTGACTGCGCAGAAGGAGGCAAAGACGATGGATATGGAGAAAACTGTCATGCGATTACGAAACAACCAACTTTCAGCCTGGCTGAACAGCGACAAGTCCGTCGACGATGTTTTCGAGCTGCTAAAGCTTCGACAAGATGGTTACTTAGCCCTCGCCAGTCCGAAGCTGGAGGCATTAGATGACTACATGAAGATATTTAACCGTGTAAAACCGGACCAAGAAACTTTACTCAATGTGCTGATAAAAGGTTTCGGAGAGTCGGCATTTGCGAAGATGCTTGTGCATGCGAAGGACGATACCCGTACCAGCGAGTTGGCGACGGCATTGCAAAACGCGCTACTGAACAAGTGGCTGCTCAGTAAAACTCAGCCCGAAATCGTCCTAAAAAGACTGAGGCTTGACAAGAATTTTATGAAAGCCACGACAGACTTGAACCGAGATACTTTGACGAGGTACATTTCGATGTACAACACCAGGAATCCAGGCAGCCAGGCATCGTTCATTGGAACCCTCTCCATTCATTATGGGGATGATGTTGTGTCAAAAGCGCTAGTGACTGCGTCCTGGGAAGTGAACACGAAAGAGATCGCAAAACTACTACGACGTGAGCAATTGATTGATTGGATGAACAACGAGAAATCCGTTGACGATGTTTTCGAGCTGCTTAAACTACGTGACGATGGGTATTTCGCTTTAACCAGCCGTAAGTTGAGGGTTTTGAAAGACTACATCAAGTTTTTCAACCGCGAGAAGGCTGGAGACGAAACTTTACTCAAGACATTTACGACTGGGTTCGGTGGAGAAAGTGAATTGGCTAAAATGCTACTGACCGCAAAGAAAAATCCGTCTACAGAGAAGCTGGCCACGTCGTTGCAGACTGCGTTATTTGACGAGTGGCTTACGAGCAAACTACAGCCAGAAAACGTATTGAAGAAGCTCAAATTGAACGGTGGAAGAGGAGATTTTCTCTCCGACCAAAATGTAGAAACGTTGGCTACGTATAGTTCGATCTACAACGCAAGGAATCCCGACATCAGGACATCGTTGATTGAAACTCTCTCCGCCCATTATGGTGATGATGTTGTGGCAAAGACGCTCGTTATTGCGAAGTATGACCGAGCCACGAATGAACTGGCGACAACGCTACAGACACAACTGTTGCAGACGTGGTCAAAGAGCGGTAAATCTGCTGAGGATGTTTTCACGATACTGAAGATTGGACCAAACGATTTCTTGCCCATGAAGGGCCAGAAGCTGCAGACTCTGTATAGTTACTTGAAGATATACAACGCCAATAACCCCCAAGACAAAAGGAGTATGTTCATGGTAGTACGAAACGGCTTTGGGGGTGATGGCGGGCTAGCACGCATGGTCGGTAAAGTACTGGCCACTTCCCAACAAAAACCTGAGGCTGCTTTAAATTACCAGAAGGAGCTGTTCAATCAGTGGTTCAACAGGAACATCGAGCCGAGCAGTATTTACACGAGATTTCTCAACGTAGAGAAGGCGTCTGCTGGTGGTATGGAAAAGGCCATTGTAGCACGATACAAGAGATACTACAAAAAGAGGTTGGATCAGGTTAAAGTTTTCGACGACCCGAGGCGTTCGTAATTTATTCCTACCTGTAATAAACGTTATTACTCCAAGACATTAGAATTGATCTGCGGGCTTATGAGTTGCTAACAATAAAGTCACACGTTCGGTTCACTGCTATTGTGGATATAAATATCATCTTATGCGTCACAAACCAAAAGAGAAGGCTACTAGAACCGTTATGAATGCTCTCAG